GTAATGATGATTACTCGAGTTCTATCAACCCTAACCTATGAAAATTGATTGAGTTATATGCTATAGGGGCATGCAATTAATATTTTAAAAATTTATTTATATTCAATCTTTAAACTAAGTGGTGGGGTCATAAAATTGCAAGTTGGCTTAGAATCGATTTCTCACTAGGCAGATTTCGAGCAAAAAATGGAAAGACACCATGGGATGGGACTACATTAGAAAAGAGTTAATTCTTATACTATAAAGGAAAAAGAATATTGATGATCTTCTTTATCTAGCGAATGAAAAGTCTGTTTTAAAATCGTTCAATCTACACCCACTTTGAGTATATGTTTCGATAAGAATTACACGAGCAGATTAAAAATCTCTTGTAAAAAAAAAAAAAAAATACTATTTTTTAAAGCCGTATTCAAGGCCTGAGGTATAAAAATGGATCGAACCACTTATATAGAGCCGCAATAGAGATTGATTATAATTTTCGGCAAGTTAGGATGACCATTAAAAAATGAGGCATGGACATGTCGATGTCAATTATAGATATTTTAACTTTTTAGTCTTATCTTTTGAAATAAAAAACAATGAGATTTAAAAAGGCACTTAGACACATCACCTCAACATGACCTTCCTACCCAACGAACGGGCCCATGACACTTACCGTCCCAAGCAAAACTATGCAAAGTCCAAGTGGTTCTAGATGAGTGCATGGTATGGATTACTAAATCTATTTAAAAAACAACTACTAAAACATAAAACATGTGTACATTCACCACAAGTGGAACGTCAAAAAAGTACTCTTGAGAGGAATAGCTTTGGCCCCTCTTCATTCTGCGTAAGGTTTCAATTTTATTTTAAACGCGGAAAGATTCATTTTTTATCAGTGATAGAGCGTACTCATGTTAATTACGTTGTTATGTCCGAGCCTTGAGATCTCCTAGTGAACAATTCAATATGTTCAACGGCGTCTGATATTAAAAAGTGAATCATTCATAAGCCTAGCTCATAGTAACATGAATAGTTAAATATGCTCGTTGAAGTCTAAAATGTGAACCTAGCTTGTCAATAACATCATAAAGTGTAATGCTAATTACTAACTAGACATGGGAAATGCACTAACTCATCCAAAATGTTGGCTAATAACAAATGAGCCATGTCCCATGCTCGAACCTTCTCTCTCAAATGATAGAAAGAAAAAGTCCAAGAACATAGTGGATGAAAAAGTAGAGTCAACGCCCTCTCAAAATGACGTCATCTTCCACGTCACCTCCAGCTTGTCCAACTTTAAAAAGTCTACATATACTTCATGTTTTTTTATCAAACCAAAATTGAATTCCATTTTCATCTCTCTCTCTAGTAACTACACGCCATGTATGGACACATTAGCAATGAATTTTCTTATGACAACTTTGTCCATTTTCCATTACCAGACATCACAAGTACTACTACTGCACCATTAGCCCTGCCCCTGCCCCATCTCGCAATTCCGAGCAACAACCACGACTCCCTTTCGGCGTTCAAAACCGAACTTGAAAACAATAGCAGTGGATGCAGCAGTTATATCGGATCTCCAACTTCAATCACCAGTCATGGAATTTACGCTTCGACTTTAACTCAACGGAGCATCAGTAGCCACTCTCTTCACAAAAACTTCGAAGGCTGCTCTCCAGTGGATTCATCCCCAGTCAGGAAGGCTTTAAGCACTGGTGATTTGCAGGTAAACACCAACTTATTCCTTCTACTGCTAATCGAACTAATATTCTTACTATATACATAGGATCTTTAAGAGGGGCGGTTTTGAGTGTCCGAGAGGTGTAATATTTTTAACTTATTTTTCTTCGTTAATCATTTGTGTTGTTGCTTTTGCATATTGTAACGTGGCATAAACTTGGCAAAACATAACCAGCGATCCAACAGTCCATTGTCAAGTGACAGCAGCTCTATCATAGAAAGTATGAACAAAGCCTGCCGATACAGTCCAGAGGAGAAAAAAGAGAGAATTGAAAGATACAGAAACAAGAGAAATTTGAGGAATTTCAACAAGAGGATTAAGGTTTATAAAATTTTCCAAATTCGCCTTTCTTATGTATTTTCATCAAAGAAGAACCCAGAATGCATAAAAAACTTTAGCCTAAGATTATGTTCTCAGATGTTGTCCCTAGTACACATGTCTAAGCTCCTGTTTGGGCTCCATTAAAAATAGATTTTGGAGAAAATGCGTTTTGGAATAATGATTTTTTGAAGAATGTGTGATTAAAAAGTAAAGAAATTTTTTTGGTTCACGTATAATATTATTTTACTAAAGAATGTGTACTTAAAAATAAGAAAAAGAAAAACACGTAAATGGAGCCCAAACAGGAGCTAAATCATGCACAATTATAATTCTTTATAGGGGTACATAATTAACTTCCAAAACACCAAATGTCTATCAATTTCTACCTTTAGTTTGTTATTAATTATCTAATTTCGTGTGTCGTAGTATGAATGCAGGAAGACATTAGCAGATAGTCGACCACGCATTAGGGGGAGATTCGCGAGGAATGATGAAACAGAGAAGATGACTCTGAGTCATTGGGATCATAAGGGTGTAGAGGAAGACGAGGAGGGCGATGATAACTGGATCAACATTCTCAATGCTTTTTCTGCAAATATGATGCCTTGATCCTAAAATGAGTTCCCAAATTTTAATATTTTGGAGCTACATATGTATTTAACATTTCAATTTAAGGATTCTTAAAGGTGAAATTTAGTCTACATTTCCTTTATCGCATTGTCAAAACATTAATTTCAAGACTCCTATTGCGATGTATAACTTGTGTTTGCCACCGAAAATACAGGAAACACATATGCATTTAATCACACTACTGTTTGGTTAAAGTTTTAGGACAAAATAAGAAGAATTAGGCAGCGGTCACCATCTTGTAGTCAGTGGATGTGAGTGTGGTCTTCAGGGTTCGTGAGTTTTGATTATACTTTCCATTCTATCACGCAATTTAATTCACTTTCGTTATCTAAAGGCAACTTGATTTGACTCGAGTGCTTAACGTTGCACGAGAGAAAATGACGTTCTCGACCACATGATGAGATATAAGCAGTCTAATGGATGGAGCTTTTGTCCTACACGCTATGGCTTTTATCTTGGCGCTGACTAAACTAGGAGTGCTCATGTATCATAGTCAATATTGTGAAATTGTCGTTATCCATTTATGAAATTGTGAACATGTCAAATTTTCAGAGTAAAAAAATGAGTCATTTTTGCATATATGGGAATATATTGAAGACAATATTTAATTGATATATATGTGATTATGTTTAACGATTTAAAGTTTTGTGGCTGCAACACAATAATGGATTCAAAAATAAGAAATCACGAGTTCCAATTAATCAATATTTGAAGGAAAAATGAGAGATAAAGTTGAGCTTATAATTAACAGTTATGCTAGGCAAACAGGGATGTTGGAAAACTTTTAAACAAAACACACCAATCATAATTTGCCACCTAATGTCTGTCACCATTTCCTGTCACATTTATCTGTTTGAGTAGCTTAATTCTATAATTAATGGTTCTGATAGGATGGTTCAGAATTAGTCACCTGAGGAAAGTTCAAAAGATTAAATCCAAAGGACGTTTCCATAATGGATGGTTAAAATTAAATGTGACCATGAGAAAAGGGCAAAATCAATGAAAGTTTTGAGTGCATGAACAAAATCAAAATTAGAGGGTGTTTGGTAGGGATTAAAATTAAATTTTTAGTAGATTGTGATAGAAGTTTTTGAAATGTGTGGTTGAAAAGTTGTGAGACCCATGAAATATATAGTTAATATTGATTGTTTGATTTTGACTTGAATTAAAATCAAATTTTAATTCGAACCAAACATGAGCTTAGTCTGGTTTGATATAGATAAAAATTAAATTTTTAATAGAATATGATAAAAGTTGATGGAATGTATGGTTAAAAATCGTGAATTCTATGAAGCGTGCGGTTAACCTTTATTGTTGATTTTGTCTTAAATTTTAATCAATTTTTTAAGTGAACCAAATATGAGCTTAATCTGCACCTAGTTAACATAAATATATGTACCCCAATATAATTAATTTAATCTTGTTCGATTTTACGTGGGGTTTTATGTACTAGGGAGATATCTATCGATATTTTAGTCTTTTTTCCATTTGCTAAAATAATGTTTGAAGTATAAGGGTGATATTCGTCGCTATGTAGTGATGAATTAATCTGCCCAGGGACGGATAGAGGGGGCCCCGCCTCCCCCAACTAAATTATATAAAAAAATCACGTGTAATTTTTTTTTTCTGCCAATGACATTACCAACACAAAGTAAACTAAATTCTTGTGTTCAAGTCTTTGTACAATTCATTTATGAAAATTCTGTGTCGAATATTTGGCTATAAAATTAATACGACATGCACGTGAGAGAATATAAAATGAAGTCAGTCGACTACTCAAATCTCTAACAACTTGGAACAAGGCTGGCCCTATTCCCCCACCCCAAGAAAGGGGAAAACCCTACTAAACTTTGGAAATATTTCTATTATCTTTGAAAGCACATGTTTGGCTTTAGGAGCCATTCTTGTATTTAATATTGTAAAAGCAAGAAATTGCACAATCTCTTTACACTAATAATTTGGTTTCTCATGTTACTGAATTATGAGTTCTTGATTTAGTTATAGTAGGCTAATTAATGGCCCCTAGAAGTGGGGAAGACGGCCGGTTGATTCTTGTTGGGCCGCGGGGGTGGGTTATCTACTGCGTTTATGATTATTTTGTACAATTCTTTTTTCATGAAATTCATCATTAAGATTTAAGGTTCACGAGTAACTTCACCTAAAAGTCAAAAACTTTTAGTTGTTAGAGATATGACGAATGCACAATTCAAGTAAATGGGTGAATGAAAAAATTGAATTCCTAACATTAATTTTCTCTTATACTTCCCGTCCTATTTATATAGACTGGTTTTTCTTATTTTTTTATCTTAATTATATAATCTTGTTTTTTTATTGAGTGTGTTTTGTTTTGCATGTTTACTAATATCAGTAATATGCCCTTATTTGATTTGCTCAGTTATAATCAATTTTTCCTACTTAATTTTGAAATTGTACAAATATAAAAATACCTACTTTTTGAAAGAGTAATACTATACATCTCCACTGGGGATGAAAACACAGTCTACACGGATTCAATGTGCTATTAAATGATAGGTGAAATTAAATAAGTCATTTAATTTTACCTTTCATTTAATCTATCATTTAAAGCCACATAAATTGAGTTTTCATCCCCACTGGGGATGAATAACATTACTCTTTTTGAAATAATCCAAATACATACACACATTTTCCACTTCTTGGAATCATTCAATTTCTTTACTATTTCCAACAATAATTTACTACTAGTTGTTGATAATTAAATAAGGATAACTAGAAAAGTTTTTGGTCAAAATTATTTTTCCAATAATATTAAATAAGATTTCTTAATCAACGTGAAAAACAAAATCAATCTATATAAATGGGATAAAGGGAGTATTATAGTGAAGTAACTCTTGGGAAAAGATTAAATTGTTAAATAGCTTATAATTTGTTTGGATTTGCACTCAACACGACCTAACAAGAAAATGGAGAATTTTCTAAAATGATGTAGATAATTTTTTTAAGAACCGGCGACTTGTGCGAAGTGACGACAAGACAAGAACGCATGCTATAGTTAAGAATATATTTTATTGAAAAATATGTGATTGAAAAGAAAATAGATAAAAAATGTATTTTGTAATAATGGGGATCAAACAAGGTGCATATATGCTAACTTGGATCTTTTTCCAATGTTAAAAAATGTTACAACCTCGTATATGATGTGGAAGGTGTTTCGTGCTGGACTACGATACGACCTCGTTTATGCCCTGGCATTGATTTGATGGCCTAGACTCGAAAGCCTACCCTATGGGCAATCATCAATCTCACACAGTCATCATTTTCATCAATCAATAATTTGCGTAGGTATCCACTCGGTTAAAATGCATGTCACAAGTTGATTGATGTGATTGGGGCAATATCGACCATTTCGATTAGAGATGGCAACCCCCGCCCCGCCCAGTCACACCACTACCCACGTCCCGCCTTAGACGGGGAGGGGCAAGGTTCAGGCGTGGGCCTGCCCCTTTTTTTTTTTTTTTAATTTTCAATTAAAATACAAATTCAAAATTTTAAAATCCTAAACAAATACGCTCAAACTAATTACATCAATATCCAAAGCAAACACTCGAAACAAAAAATATCTATAACAAATAATGTCCAAAACAATTTTTTTTAAATTCTTCACGGGGGTAGGTTCGGGGCGGGGCGGAGCAGCCAACCTGTTCGGGACGAATTTTTTTGCCCCATTTGAGGTGAGGCAGGGCGGGGAGGGGAAAATTTCTTGTCTCGTGCATTTTCCTCTTTTTTTATATTCAATTGTTCAGCACAAAGTAAGATATGATCTTTGACACATTAATTGGCCACAAGTACACGTTGTCATCCATACAATACCACACTCTTGGACATTACTTCTTCATTTTTATTTTTATTTTTGCCTTTTTAAGCCTGAGTGAAGACATACGTGTCAAACAGATCTTTTAGTGAAAAGGCTCAATGGAAACGTGTGTCCCTAGTGTAAAAGGGGTTGATGATTTGATGTCATCCTTACCTTCCTCTATAACTCAGCACACGAACAATTACACTTCTCATAATAGTTTGACTATCTATTTTATCAGTTCGTGAAGAACAAGTCTATTATCTTGATTGGGATGTTTCTCTTTTGTCACCAATATTTTTTCCCTCGTGATAAAATATTATCTATAATACTACATGATATGAAAAGTGAACTACGATGACCAATCAAGAGAAGACGATAGCCCGGCTATTGCTATGCTAGCCCAACTATTGCTATGCAGGTCTATCTACCTCTATGCTAGTCCGTCTACCACGAGGCTATAAGGATTTTAATCGAACATGTGGGCTTATATGTAAAATATTGTGTATTAAACTCAAGGCTATAAATTTTGGTTAAGCCGGTTTAAAGTGATTTAATAAGGTTTCGGTATTTTGGGGTTCAAAGCATCTAATTAAAGTGTGGGCATTTATGTGTAGAGATTAGGCTTGTTCCTAATTTCATGATGGGCCGAAATAGGTTAATGGACTTTTAGTGTGTGTGTATATATATATATACGATTATGGTTCCCGGATTACAGGTTTTGTTCATTCTATTTTGACTCCCATCATCAGAGAGAAATAAAGAATTACGTGTTGATTTGGAAAACTAAAACCGCATGACTCATTCGTTGCAATAACCATGTCTATTCAGGTACGCTTCCGCTTCGGTTTACAAATTCTTGATGATCCAACATGAACGATCATTATGACGGTAAAGTTTTCCCAACAAGTGATATCGGAGCCTATTCGTGTTGAATCAGTGAGAATCGAAATTTTAATTTGATTCTTGATAATTTCATTATTTTCAAATTTAGCGATTCTGGTATTAGTTTTGTTAAATTTGAAAATTTTTCGGTGGTCTTACATGATTTTCAGTTCAGTTTTTAAAAAAATTACAGTGGTCGTGCGGACTACAGCGAAATAGTACTGTCGACTGGTGCATGCTTCGCTGTAGCCCACGGTACTGC